TGATACCTTTGAAAGACTGCAGTCAGCTGCATCAGCATCAGCACTTCTCTCCCAGGTTTGATCAGCAGTGAGCTTCCACCTTCCTTTTCATTGTGTCCTTCTTGCAGGTCCTCTGTGTGTATCCTCACTGCATCCAGTGGGGTGACTACGCTCCACATCTGCCAGGGTCACTTTTCCCTCCAAAGGAAAGGCCTGTCAGGAGCAGCAGATAGAAGACCAGCCCTGGGAACTCTGCATTTTTTGGAGGTGAGCTGGACTGTGTGGGTTTAATGGCCTTACAAGAGCAGCAGTCCCCCTGTACACAAGTCCCAGTGCTGGAAGATACAGCCCTGTTGCTCTCATCTGACTGTGTGCTGCCACACTGACTCCACTACCCATCTCTACTTGTCCAGTGGCAAAGTGATTAATTTTTCAAGCGACATCATGTATTGAGCACTTTCAGTTGGAGCACTGGAGGTGTAATTACATTAAAGTACAATTCCAGCTGTAGGAAAGACACTTAAAATGTGCAGTGTAATCTTCCTTCTTAACTGAGCATTTCCTCCTAAACCTGGGGACCCTTTTGAGCACCACTTGAGTGCAAAACTGTTTTGTCACAAGAGGAGGAAGGACCTTGATGGAGAGGGATGCAGTAGCTGAGCAGAGGTAGCTCCTCAGTCACGAGGTGGTGAAGGAAGCATGTCTCATGACCCAGAGAGGTGCAGTGGCTGTCTCTGAGCAGATGGGCAGTGGATGCTTTCTCTGCATGTCTCTTTTATTCCTAGGAAACCTGCACAATATGCTTTTCAAGTCTGCTGTTCCAGAAGAGCAACTAAACACGTGCTGAACTTTGAGCCTGTGAGTGTTGATATTAATGTTACAAACTGACCTGAATGCTTTGCAGGAGCCAAAGGCAGCCTGGGGGAAGTTCTCTGCTTTTCAGTAAGAGGCATTTCATCCCAATGCCACCAGTTTCATTAACTCAGGCAGCCCTTCCAAGCTTGGATTTCAAAATGGCTCTCGTATTAGTTCAGCTCTGGGCTGATGCAGCCAGTCCTCCAACTGCTGAAATGCCACTCTGCAGGAACACCAGCTTGGTGCTGGCTTGGGAGAAGAGAGCTGCTGTGTCCCTTTTTAGCCTGGGGAAACAGCAAGGGGTCATGGAGGAGGCATGGACAGAGGCCAGGAGCTCTGCCACCAACCTGCTGCCCAGCAGGTACTTCCCCTTTCTTTCCCAGGTATTTCCCCTTTCCAGCAGTCTTTCCATTTTCTCTGTCTTTTTGAAGATGAAGGCCTTTTGCCCCTATCTGGCTTTTTGCTTTATCTGCTCTCACAGTCTTCTCTGATTTAGTGGCTTTGGGAATGACTGTCTTGCTTCTACAACTTAGATGTTGCTGAGGATCTCTTGTCCATCAAACCCAGTATGACTCCTGCTTATAAAGCACAAATATACTTTACAAGATCTGCTGAGACTTCACTGTGAAGCAGGAAAACTCAAAGAAGGAAGTAATGCTGTTTAGATTCAAGGTTTCTAACTTTTTTTTTAAAGTAGGAATTTTAGACTTTTCTTTAGGAAAAATGTATTCCTGAACGAAGGTTGTCTGGAGACCTCCCTGTTGGTGTCCTTAGAAATTTTTTGCAAGAATTTATTTAGAATTTATTTAAAATATTCCAAATTTTCTCACCAAATAAGATGAGAAATTGCACTTTGGGTAGAGCTTTCCTCTTTAACAGCAATCCTTAGAACCAGAAAATGTCAGAAACTGTTTTCCCAGAAACAAGACTGAGAAATGGGCTTTTCAGTTGTATGTTGCCTCCTCACCATCCCTGTCCCTTGTGGACGCCCTCAGGCTCCACTAGCAGCACCCCTACAGTGTCTTGGTTCTTGCTCCTGGACCCTGTTGCTCTCTGTGCCAGAGCTCTCAGCACTGTTGCCCCAACAGCGGAGCAGGAGCGTGCTGGGGCTCCTTTGCAGCCCTAGGCCGCGTCCCTCAGGAACAAGCTTTTCCCTCAGGTTTGGACCTTTTCTCTCTTTCTTTGCTTATGTTCCATTGGCCATATTGTTCAAATGACACCTGGATCATTGCAAGTATTTCTGTGCATGGCTGAGATTGGTTGTGTGAGCAGTGTCAGTGGAGAGGAGCGAGACAGCTGAGGGTGCTCGGGGCAGGGACTGCGCAAGCCGGAGTGCTGAGTCCGGGTGAGCCATACCTGTGTGGGGCTCTCTCGCTGGAGCTGCTCCACGTGCTACAGCTGCCAAGGGACCAGGGAGAGCTTTGTCCTTTGGGCAGTGGCATGGGCACCACTGGGACATCCTGCTCCCTGCACTGGAGAGACCTGGCTTTCCCCTCCTCTCTGTCCTGGCCATTCCAATGCCGGTGTGCAGCGGCAGTGGGAGGAGAGCTACCAGTGCTGCAGCTGGGGACTGACCCCTCGGGAGCGCTTGGCAATTACAGCTCTGCCCTGAGACAGAGGGTAGAGGCAATCTGGATCCTGCCACCAGCCCTGTAGGACTTGGGGGGTCGCAATGCTGCAGCCACAGACGTGGCTCGCACAGGGGGTGCCACAGCTACTGCTTGACAAAGCATTGGAGGTTTGACAGAGGTGTCTGTGCTGCTCCTGAGGCTGGGAGGGATACAGGTGGTGTCACGGGTGGTCCGTGCTCCCAGATCTGCTTCCTCATTGTCCCCTCTAGCCAGCGGCACCAGCCCCCACCAGTGACGGGGGGCTAGGGCAGCCCTCACACTCCCTTCTGCAGGACCCGGTGACCATTCCCCATCTCCCAGGGGCACCACAGGGTCAGTCTCTGCAGGGAGAAAAAGGTGCTCAAGAAGGGGTCGCCGAGTGCCCCGTGTGCGTGGAGAATCCCCCGTGACCCGTCCATCTGTCCGCTCTGCTCTGCACCCCCTGCTCCCTACCTGTCCTCTGGGGCAGGAGCAGCGTGCCAGACGGGCACGTACGGCAGGGCCAGGGCAGGAAGCTTTCCGCGTTCGAGGGCTCCCTTCAACAAAGCCGTGTCTGTCCCGCTCCCACTGTTCCTGCCTGTGCGGTTGGGGACGGGGGTCTGGAGGAGCACAAAGGAGCCCAGACAATAGGGCGAGCGGGAGCATTCCTCACACCCATGGCGGCAGGCGAGCGGGCTTTGTGTGCAGCCGCTGCCTCCCTCGGCGGCGGGGGCAGGCGCTGCGGCCGCCCTGCGCCGCTCCTTTGTTCCCTCGCTGCCTGCCAGGGGTGAGACAGGCAGGTGAGCGCCGCGCCAGGCAGGGGGCTGGCGGCGTGCGGCGGCGGCCGCATATTAATGGATTTTTCCAGCCTGTCGCTGGATCTTCGACTTGATTCATGAGGCTCCTCCGTCGGATGCTGCCGGCAGGGAGAGAGAGCAGGGAGACAGCTATTGTCTGTCGGGCCTGGGGCCCTGCCGGTGCTGCTCCGGCTGCTGCCACAGCGCCAAAAGCTCTTCGCACCTTTGCCCCGCCGTCCTTCCCTGCCGCCGGGCTGTCCGTCTGTCCAGGCCGGTGCGCGGTGGGACTGTCTGGTACAGTCGTGTCCCTGCGAGGCGGAGCTGAGCTGGGGGGAAGGCAGGTGGGCAGCAGGCAGCTCTCCGAACACCCCGGAGTGCAAGGTGGCTGTGTCCAGGCACGGCTACATCCAAAGAGGGCTTGTGCAACTAAAACCACTTCCATCCGGTGCCTTAGTGACACCAGGAAAATGCTTTTGGTGGCTTTTTAAAATTATTATTATTATTTTTTCATGGCTGCTGTAGATGTCACGTTACATTTTATGGTTGGCTATAATTTTTGAACAAAGCGAACAGGCAGCTGGTGGACAGGTATAAACCAGGCAGCAGTCAGCCTGTCTTGAAAAGGCTGATTCAGGTACAGTATTTGGTAATGTTCATATGGGAAGGGCGTGGATGATAATCCCAGAGAAGAAAACAAACTGGACAAAGTGCACTCCATCTTGCTGACAAAGATCTGAATTGTACATGATGGGGTGCAAATAGGATTGTTTGCACATTCAGCTGACTCGCTCTTCTCTTTTCCCCATCCCTGAACATAGGTGGTGCCTGAGCTCCTTGGGGAGCTGTCTGAGTTAGGGGGACAAATGTGTATGGGGGAGGGGGGTAAAGGAGCATGTGGAGGAAGAATGAGAGCAGAGAGGGTGCTGATTTCAGGGGCTACAATAGAAAGGCCCTGGCTGATGGGGTAAATGCTCTGGGAATAGGGTTTATCGGACTGAATATAGGAAGCTACAGATAAGCTTGTCTGACACGTTTCCTTTTATATCCCTGATATGCAGTTTATCCCACTCTGAACTAGACATTGGTTCTCCAGAGCAAAATAAAGGTCCAAGGTCTGATTTCTTCCCCCCGCCTTCTTTCTTTTTCTCAGCTGTCAAGGAATAAAGCTGAACTGAGGTAGAAAGGAGCATTTATTCCCAGTGGGTAAAGAGAAGAAGGCTGAAATGAAGGGTTTTCTCCAATGATAGCACTCCCTGAGCAGCAAACCCCACCTCTGAGTTTCCAGTAAATCTATTGGGAGTACAAAGCAAACCAATCAAGAAACGTCAAGGTGTATTTACTGTCCTATTAACCTGGTGCCCCATTCCCTCTCTGGCACACAAAGGTGCATCCCGATGCTGTGTGCTGGGGAGGGAGCATGGCTGTGAGCCCAAATGGCTCCCGACTCCTGCTCTCCAGCCACCACAGCAGGGAAAGGAGGTACTGGAGGTGAGCCTGTTCTGGGAATAGTGGTGCTTGGGGGCTGTGCCAGTCCTTTGTGCTGTCTGCTCTCAACGAGGCAGAAATTTAATTCTTACAAGGAACTTGCACGCGCTTATCTGAAGCTAAAGCCAGAGCAGCTTCTGTTAAAGATCACCTAGACTTGACTGCTGTCAAATACTGGCTGCAATACCGTATTTTACTGAATACCGTATTTTACTTGGTGACACATCTAGAACTTTCAGAAAGAGGTTTTTAAATATAAGTTTGTCTTTAAGGTTTTTGCAGGTGTCTTTTTTACTTTTTTTTTTTTTCTTCTTGTAAAGAGAATTGGTCAATCATAGAATTTTGACAGAAGTTGCCTCTTATTCTCTTGCTTCATAGTCCATGGCCATCCTGAAGAATAAAGGAAATGCTGATAAATTAGGTATATTCCCCATCTAATGTTACTCTACGCTGTCCTCATACATGTCCTGCCCCTAGTTGCTCTGTTAACTTGTCTCTGCTTATAACACTCGGTACATAAAACACAACTGGGCGCTTTTCGCTCTGATTAAAATCATGCTGTGCAATAGGAAATACAAATTAGCTCTGGCCTTTGGGCTCCTGACAAGTTTCCAGCGCTGCTTTCAACACCACAGAGATTGTGTAACTCCATCTGTGCGTGCTCTGTGTGGTGACGTCTCCCCCTCCGTCATGAGCTGGGCTGGCTGCCACTCATCCAGGTTCAGCTGTTAATACTTCAAGCAGCTTTTAGAACTGAAGGAGGAAGAGATGTTGCCAGCAGCTGGGTGAAATGCAGAAACCAGCTTTTCCTTGCCAGAGGACTATGTGGGCACGGTTAAAAGGAGGAGGATTTCCTAGGTAATTCCCCCAATCTTGATGTTTGTGCAAATTACCTCCCTTTTGAATGAATGACTGGGGAGCTCAGCACAGGAGAGCCAATGCTTCAGTACAAGATTAACCCCTGGAGGAAGAGCACAGTAGCCTCTTATTCAAACTACATCTTAAGTTTGTGCTGCCATGAAGCGCGCAGCACTTTCCTGCCTCCTCCAGAGATTCAAGCCAGGCATGCTGTGTTACATCATTTCAGCGTTGCTCACAGGAGGGCTGAGGCTCCAGCTATCGTGTCACGTTTTCAGCAGAAACCTTTTAAGTCTCGGCGACTTCCTCTGAAGATGCTGAAGCAAACAGTGCCCAGACCTGTGAGTGAATAAGTTGCAAATGACATCGCCTGTTTGAAATGGTGCGTGGGCACGACGTGGGCGAATGTTCCCTGCACTGGGTGTTTTCTAAAGGTCTCTGAAGCATGAGGCATGACTGAATGACTTCTGTTTTCTTTAAATGATGAGTGGGAGAATTTTGAATCATTGGTCTACTTTTATTTTTGTTAAACGTGTGTGGGCTGACAACATGACTCAGTATTTTCTCTGCAGATGCAAAGATCATACTGCCAATTCTGGGTATATTTCAGACAGTTTCCTACAGAGAACTGGAACACTTTTTCAGTCCAGAGCTTTGCTTTTCAGCAGCCTTAAGCCTTGATGTGAAAGCTTCAATATTGATGCGAATATAAGTGATTTTTAAAATGATTGTTTTGCCAAAATGTACATAAATACACTAAAGAAATGACCAAACATGGGGAAAGTCCTTCTTGCCCCATGTTTTCCCAACAGTTTATCTATTTTTTTCATGGCTATCAATACCTAATTTTTCTTTCTGATTCTCCCTAGCCTGAGTTGCTGCTGGGCCAACTCTGTGCCTGCTGGATATCATCTCTGGTGTTTATTTGGCTGTCCATGCCCTGCTGAGTGACAGCCACCATCCTGTGATGGATGGTTGTGAGTCCTCCCCGCCTCCCAAGAGACAAACAGGCTCTTTTGTGGGTACCCGTATGTGGTTCAGCCACAAGTACCAGAAAACTCCCCTTGCTCCCCTTCTGACAAGCTCCCTGCCCTGTTCTCACTTCTTTATCCTCCCTTTATGCCATGTGCAGCGTATGGCATGTGCTCTGTGAGATACACAAAGCTTGGCATGGGCTTTGGATGTTTTTATTGTGCAACAATGAGTTCCCTCTTCTCCCATACCCTCTTCTCTACTAATGTGCAGTGTGCTTGCTTGTGGTTATGTCTTTGGTAAGAATATGTTTTTTGCTAAGACACTCACCTGTAGTCATAAGTCAGCATTCTAGAGCTACCACTAAACCACTCTTCCCTGCTGATAGCAGCCCTCAGCCCTGTGGACCTTGCTGAAGGTCTGTGAATGGCTAGAGAATAACTCATTAGTAGATGGAGGATGTTGCACAGCAAAGGTTGTCTGTGAAGATGATGTGCCAGTAGATTCATTCTGTAGGGCATGCAGAGTGAAATGAATCCCATCCAGTCTGCTTATTTGATTGCTAACTTCAATCACAGAAGAATTCCCACACTCAGCCCCTAGCAATGGCCTAATGTGACCTGTACTTAGCACCATGACCCAAACCCCACTATGATCCTGACTCCATACTGGCCCATACAACACTGAGTTGTACCTGACCCACATATGCACAAGCATGTATTGCAGTACTAGGCAATTTTATCATCTTCCTATCATTCTAGTTCCTCAGTCTTAAGATCTTCTTCCTATTCCTGGCATTTTCTCTACCACTGTACACCCATGGCAATATTTCAGCCCAAACTTAAGCATGAGCACATCCATCATCCCTACAGAACTCATTGGAACTTTGCAGGTTTATCTCATGATAAGAAGCAGGTAGCATGCTTTATAATTTCTCCACAATCCTCACATTAATCAGGAAGAATCCTATACTTTAAGCCCTTTTTATTCTCATTCCAGCCTTAAGGATAAACTGTCATCCAGCATTCCTTCAATCACAAGCAAAAGTTCTGTGCATTACTGAGTACCAGCACCCAGGCTTGCCCTGAAGAGCAAGCAAAGAGGTGGTGCTCTTTAGTCCTTGGTGCCTCAGTCTCTAACCCTGACTTTAGTGTCTGAAGATCCAGTGCTTGTTACTTACAGTCCTGTACTTCTGAGTGCCAGAGCCACTCACCCCTGCCTGCCCCACATGACTGTACTTCTAACATTTTTGCTGGAATCCAGGCACGGAGATGGAGGCAGCCATTGGGACTTGCTGTACAAGCTGTAAGTTGTGTTTTGCAGAGGTTGGGCTTGATGGAGCAGAGCATGCTTTGGTGAATTTTAGGGTGGAAAGATTATATTTGGGCATGGCTTGAAGGACTAACTGGCTTGGTCAGCTGCTGAGGGGATGGTAGGCTGGGTACAAGATGGGGCATGGGGGAGTGTGCTAATGGGTGAGCAGGGTGTCATGGTCTGTGGCACTGATCACTCTCCTTTCCTAAAACAAGCTTCATTGTTCCCATCTTCTTAATTCTCACTGCCCTTCCACTGGTTCTTCATCACTATCTCCAGCCCTTTTCCTCCAGCCTTTGGATTTCCAGAGCTACCAGCTACTCTAGAGCTGGTTCTTCAGTCCTCCCCAGCCCTCTGTCATTTTTGCCTTGCCTGTTTTTGGCAGTCAGAGCTCAGCCAGAGGCCAAGCATATGAACCCTATGTTGCCTATTAGAAGGCAGTCTGCACACTTTATTTCACACTGGTATGTCTTGCTGGTTGGGTATACAAGAATTGAGAGTGCTACAGCCTCAGGTGTCTTCAGATATCATTGTGTAGCTGTGAATAATGAGCTTGTTTCTGAAGAATTTTTGGGATTGGCTTTTAAACTTGCTTCACTTCTTTACATTGAAGGTAAGTATTGCATTTTTTGTTTCTGAACTATGTTTGGTAAGATTGCCATAGAAAAGCTCTCCAAGTTTCTGGAAAGAATACTTATTCAAAGGGGTTTTGTAATTGTTATGGTGTGTGGTCCTCAGCTTTCCTGAACTTTTGCTGTGTTACATTCAAGTATAGTCTAGTGTTGTTTGAAAGAAAGGTTGGGAAGAGAAGAGTTGCCAGCAGGTCAGACTGAGTGTGATAGAGCTGGTTTATGACACTTTTTTTGCAACAGATGAAGTATTCCCCACCTGGTTAAGGTACAGCAGACTGAATCATTAACACACCTTGTTCTGAAATAAATCACCATGGCAAAAAGACATTGCTTGTGGCAGTAGGCAAAGTGCTTATTAAATAGCAAGCATTACTTTGCATGCTTAAGACCACAACTACTCTCTTTAAAAAACAAACAAATTACTTTTTTTTTTTTCCCTATAATGAAGGCCAGTGAAGGGCAGGTCCCCACAGGGTGCTGAGACCAGCCTGTTTCCTCATTCTTTGCACTCTCACTGCTTTCTTCTGTGTCAACTGAAAACTTCCTCACCCAGCCCGTGGCGCTGGACTCACCCTGAGCCCAGCCAGGTCTCCTCCCTATGTAGTGCACATCAGGCAGCCTCACCCTATCTCTCCCGGGAATACCCACCCAGTTCCCGTGTGCCTTATGCCTTACCAAGGTGTTCAGCAGGTTTGTCGTTTGCAGACACTTCCTGATACACAACAGGCGTGCGTTTTTACAGCCAATTCGGATAAAGACATCACTCCAGCTGGTAACTGCAGCTTCCAGATAAGACTGACCCCGTGACAATGTAAGAAACACCCAACTAAGGAGCAAGAAATTGTCCCTTCTCCAGAGCGGTTACATAGACCAACACTTTGTTGCACAAACACAGAATAACAACTATAACTGGAACAGTTCTCTTGGTAGTTGTTACATTATCTGTAGCTGATTCTGCAAGAGTTAGCAGGCCCCCCTACCATTAGAATGCAACTTCCTACCTGTGTCTTTGAATCAGATTAATAAATGGAAACAGTATTTTTAATGAAAAAAGCCTCTTGGTGTGTATTATTTCCTGAAATTCTGAAATTGTCGTTGTTGCCTTACTGATGTTTCTTGCCCCTAAAAATTTTTACATCAGATTTTTAGAAGACCGATGTGTCTGTGGACCCATTTTGAGTTGCTGAAATACTGAGGTGTGGAAAACCAGAGTATTGAAACATCCAGAAACAACATTTTTCAGGTCAGAATCTTCTGTACTTTCTAAATAGGTCAGGGTTTGGTTTGAGAATCTGGTATTTCTTGAAGATATCCTTTACACTTCCTTTATTTCTCTGTCTCATTCTCCAGTCACAGAGCCTGCATGCTGGATTTATTTGTTTTACATTTCTTTGCTGTCCACTTTGCTGCCAAATCATCATCTCGTGTTGCTTGTCTTATATAAATGTTAACATTAGCAAGCTTCACAATAACAGTCTGGGAAGGAAACATTTACTTCTGAGCTTCCCTCTGCCAAACAAACCTACGGCATTTGCTTTTTTGTGGCTACTGGTGGTTAAGGCCATGGGTTGTAAAATTATAATGCTGTAGGCAGTGTCTATTACAGTTACGATCACTCTGACATGCACTTCAACGTATTTATTGTTTTGCTTTTAAAAATGAGGACCAGGCTCTTAGTTCCCTCATACAGTGTAATCTTCAGAGGTCCTTGACGGGACCTTGCAGGGAAAAAAACCAATTCTGCTTTAACACCTACTTTTTTGTTATCGATGACACCTAATGAAAGCATCAGTGTTACTTTCGTGTCCTGAAAGAAAGGGTGATGGCACGGAAGGAAACAGTGATTATCACACAGGCAGGGAGCTTGACAAGAAATAAACCGCTGCAACCCCCAGCTGGGCAGCATGGAAGGACTGCCTGTCCAGGCTTCCTAAAATCAGATGTGCCTCTGCCCCGAGGTGCCTCCGGGAGAAAGCACCGCTGCACGTCCCCTAGCCATCCTCGTATGGAATTAGCTTGGTGAAAACATTTTTCAGAAACTGAAGCAAACGAACGCTAGGTCATTGATTGTCTGTGCCCCGCGCTGGGTCTTCAGGTGCTGAACCACATAGGGGAGAGTTCGGCAGGAGCCGAAGGAAGAGATCTGCATGGGCCGCCGTGCCGAGGCTGAGGCCCGGGGGGTCGGGAGGTGGCAGCACGGGCACTGCATGACCCTTGCTCTGAGGGAACTCTGCCGGCTCCTCAGAGGGGTCTCCGGGCCGGACGGCTCCGGACAGAGCAGGGCAGAACAGGAGAGGAGGGGACACGCCAGGCCGGGCCAGGCCAGGCCGCTCCGGCACCGCCGCCGCGCTCGTTACATANCACGGCGCTCGCAGCGCCCCGGCGGGGGCCGTGTGCGGGGTCCTAGTTGTTTGGGTTTGTTTTTCCCGTATTTATTTTCCTATTTCTTCCCCTCAAGCGGCAAAAGACAAACGCCGACAAAAAGTAGGTTGCGTGTCTAGGTGTTACTTAACAGTAATTGTTACACACGGGTGTTTTCTTGCCACGTTTTAGGACGAAGGGAAGGCTCGCAGCATTTCGGATGTTTACTTGCGTGTAGGTCGAGGTGATTTGTTCTTTGTACATGGACTTCTCCTTGCTCGAACTGCAGTATAATAGAAAGTGCGAAATGGGCTTTGTAAACCATAAAAACCGGCAAAGCAGGATTGTTATACCTTAAAAACAACCTCTCATTAATATTTTTAACTAGACTGCCAGTACTGTTGTAGAGAGCAAGACACACAACAGCTCTTTTGGCTTACAGCAGCTTAATACAAGTTTGTCAGAACTCGGTCACTGCCTACAGTAAAGGTGCAGGCGTTGCCTGAAGTATTTGTACAGTTACAGGTTCTTTTCTAAGTCTTTTTCTGATTTTGTGTGGTTGCTCTTTCAGAATGTCCTGGCAATTGCTCAGGTTCCATCCAGGCTTAACTTAAATGCCAGCCTTGTGCGTCAGTATTGCTGGGGTATGGGTGAACTAAATTTCTGAAATTGTTATGAGGAGGAAAGCGTTGCCTAATCCAGAGGTGGGACAGACCACTTGGTAGCTTTCTTGGATCTCGATCTGCAAAAAGCCCCACACTGGTTCCTGTGATTGAACTCTCCCATGTAATGGGTAGAAAAAGCCTGCTAGCACTGAATTGCCTTGATAGTCTGAAACCCTAAGAGTGGAAAATAAGCAAGCAAGAGATAGCAACAGCCATGCTGCTTTGGGATTTAGTTGCATGCTCATGCAGTCTCATGACTAAGGGGCAGGTTTTTGGGAGACGAGGTTGCCCCCTGCTAGCTGTGGTCTGCCCTGGGAGTGCCTTTCTCCTTGCTTTAAGAGTGTCTGAAGACTGTTATGTAGCTTGTGCAAGAAAACACACGCTCTCAAATCTTTAAGTTTTTGGTAAACTTCTTAGTTTCATGTTTTCTTGATTTTTTTTTTCTTTTTTTTCTTTCCCTGGCCTGTGGAATGGGACTGATGTGTGTTCTATCTTAAGAAACATGTAAACCCAGGCTGCGGTGTGCTAGCATGGTACCAAGTGTGTATTACTGGATCATGGACTCTTCGCTGCCTTCCTGTGTATGGTCAAGAGAGCTCCTGAACAGTACAGTGGAGGCCATACAAAGTCTGTTCTGACAGATTGTTACTTCGTCCCTTTAAAATTTTGATGTGATTTTTTTTTTTTCCTGTGTGTTCTTGCACTCTGTTTTCAAATGATTTGTACTTTGGTTTGCTGTATCAATAGATTAGTATTATGAAACACGCATTTTATTGCTTTTGGCAAATATTTGTGTTAAAGCAAATGTTCTGTTGTGCCTGGCAAAGCTGCGAACCTGCATTGTGGGTTTCAGTTACTCTCTGAGTGGGCCTAACATCCAGTCACAGTCTGGTGTAATTACCCCTTCTGAACAAAAGAGCGTAACGCGGGTGCCTGTGTGCTGTTTGAGGCTTCGTCGCCTTCCTGAATGGCTTGTAAGTGTGCAGAGACTACAGAGCTTTAGATGTGACAAACTGTCAGAGCTTTCAGATGGGAAAATCCGTTTATATTTTAGACAATTTCTTGTGTTTTCCCCATCTTTTTTATCTGCTTTAAATGAAAATGTCACATTAAGCTGATTACCCCATTCTGACTTGTCTAGAATATACTCCAGCTAGGATGTAGCATAAGAAGTCCTTTATGCTTCTCTGTGTGGTCAACTTTTTCTTGGATGTGTTCTGCAGCTCTTGAAACCTCTTTAATTTCTCGGTTTCTTCTTCAAATTATATGTATCATTTTGTGATACTTCTTGTGCTATCTCTGCCTACCTTCGTTTTTTGATGCATTGTTTCAGTTAGGTTAACAACATGCTGTCATCTTTTCTTGTTTGTGTTTTTTGCTGTGATGTATTCTGTGCATAAGTTACATATCTTTTTTTAAACTGATTTTACAGTCAGCTCTGTTCTTGAAACATGTTTGTGATGTTTGCAGAAATCCTGTTGAAATTTTTGTCCTTTTTTCTGTCCATGATACATGTACTCAACTAGATTTATATGCATTGTATAGGTGTGACTTATTTCTGTAGACTAGATCTCAGGTCAGAACAAACTGAAGTTTAGGCATATAATTCAGTTTTTGTCTGCACAGTGTAATGTTGTCTGTGATATTTCAGGAGTAAAATACTGTAAAATTTGCCTTTTGCGGAGGTTGGCTTTGTAAAGCTGCACTGGTCCTGTACTAGTTGTAAAGGAGTTTGGAGAAGTCAGTCAGGTAAACTATGAATATATCCCTGTGAAGCCTTCTGTATTGCGCTTTTCCAGGGATGTTTTGTTTCTCAACAAACATACAGTGAACTTATAACATCTCAATGATGAATAGGTTAAGAAATTATCAAATGTGTGCATGTCAATTACAGATCTTTGCCTTTTGAAATGTCTGCAACCTTTCTAATCTTCTTTATATTACAAAAATATGTTTGTTTTTTTAGTTAAACAAAGGAAATGTTTTGCTCTTCAAAGTCAGAGTTTATGGGGCATAAGAAGGAGAAAGCATTTTTTTTTTTTTTTTTTTTTTTAAATTCAAAATTAGCAGTTTACCTGAAAATTTCATAATGGTGTCAACTTGGTTGTCTTCCCCCTCAAGGAGGATATTTTTATGTTTACAGAAATAAATATTTAATTTGAGCAGCTTAGAGGGCAGTCAGGGAAATACAGCACTAATCTGTATGTAGTGTACGTATGTACATGCTTCTGTTGCAAAGCAAAGCCAAATTGATTAAATTTATATGGAATTGTTTTTAAATAGTTAGCTCTTGCTCTCAGGATTAGTTCTGTATTTTGTATAGTCTTAAAAGAATTAACTTTGCCCTTTCCTACAGCAGTTCATTGGTGGTATTTTGCCATTAGGTGTTTGATGTTTTTTACAGCTTTGTCGTTCTAAGAAAACATTTAATAACATCATTTGAAAAGAAAGGTGATTCGGGTACCGTTTGAAGATTATCATTTAAACTGCAGATGCCTTGAGGCCCTTTTTCCTCACATGGAGGAAAAATTCAGTGCCAAAGTCACATCTGAGCGTAATTCATGTAGAATGTATTTTTTCTGATATTGTATAGATTTGAACATGTCATTGTTTGGTCTCTGAAGAAACACAAAACTTCTCATCCACTCCTTAATATGATCTTGATGTAAAATCAAGGTTTCCCTCTTAGAGCTGTTAGGTTACGTGGTACAGGTCTGTCTGAACACAGTCATTTGTACTCTGAAGGCAGACTTTCTCCTTAAGAAAAGAAGGAAATACATGTGCTATAGTGACTACTTTTCCTGAATTGGTTCTTTGTTTTGGAGCTTTATACATGAGGTTCTGCACGATGGGCTTTGCCAACTCTGCTGCTGAAAGAGGCTGTCCTGCTCCTGGCTGCATGCTACTATAATTCCTCTTTTGCTGGTTCAGTGCTTGCCTGATTGGTAAATCAACTCTGCTCAGAAAACTGACAGAACCCATTCTCTTGCTGGGTTAGCTTTTTGTTGTGCTACTGAGCCGAGTGGGCTTGTCAAAGGCTAGGATGAGTCCCAGAGTGTTGCAAAACACTTGAAGGAATGTGTTGTTGGAGATGATACTGGTGGGAAAAGACAGAAGAGTCACTCATTTTTCTTCCTCATTGCCCATTTTGGGATTGATAGTTCATCCCGTTTTGTAGAGCCCTGTTTTTGTGTCTCAGTCACTATGTATGATTCTGCCCAGACCCAGTTGCTCGTCTAGTCCAAGGTCCAAGGGAATCGAGGCATTGCCAGTGCAGCTTCAGGAGCACAACCCCACAACATCATCTGTTTGCAGGCGTAGGTGAAGCTCTTTCATCTGTCTGGGAGTTGGAGGACAAGGCATGGTGATGCTCATGTCAGAGAATGTGGAGATTGCAGAGTCTGTTACAAATGTTTTCCGGTGCTGACCTCTTTACTGAAAATTAAGACCTTGTAGTTAGAAACATTCAGGGACCTGAACTGAATCAACAGAGCTTTGGTCTGGCACCAGAGAACTTTCAAGCTGACTTTCTGGCTCTTGTGATGTGTAAGCCTTAAATCCTTCATGTGGCAATTTGGTGGATCTTAGGGAAGTGTTTTAGACCTCAAGGGAAAGCTGATGTGTTTAATTTTACTTTTCCTTGGCTTAGCCATGTTTTCTCAGAAGTAAGATGGAAGTCTCAACTTCAGTCCAATGAGCTGTGTACCCTCTGCCAAAGTATTAAGTAACTTGAAGTGACCTCAAGCTCTTCTAACAATACAAAAGCTGAAACAGTTTTGGTTAGACTGAAAAGAAACTAGTTATAATAAGGATGCTAGACAAGCACTTGTGTGACTGGGTGTCTGTTTCCAATTCTTTTATATTCTTCATTTGGACAAACCATTTTTTTCCTCTTGGTTCCCATCTCTGAAGTGGGAAGTCTTATTAATATATATTAAAGTTAGGTGTGTTCTACCATAATAAACACCGAAGAGTTGCAAGTATTCAAATTGCTTCAGTTTTTTGAAACTGCGTAATAACATGTAGAATAGTGTGCAAGTTTTTCTCTTTATAGTTAACTTGAAGAACTGGCTTTATTTGAAGTAGGTGTACTTTGAAAGTTAACACTCCTTTCCTTGAGATTGTAATTTCGTAATTTTTTTCATTTGTTCTGGAATAAAACATAATAGATGTTTTAGCTTATGCCTTCTGATAAAGTAACTAGGACAAGAAGAAAACATATTGTCCAATAAAAATCTGTAAGAGAACTGAATAGTACATGATTAAACTTTTTAAATTAGAGTCCAACAAGATTCTAGTGAGTTTCTAAACAGTTATTAAATG